CAGCCTAGAAATCCAACGCAGGATAACTCTTGCCAACAGGTGCTACTTCGGACTGAGTAGGCAATTGAGAAGCAAAGTCCTCTCTCGACAAACAAATAATCTATATAGTCGCTCATAATTCCCGTCCTGCTATATGGTGCAGAGGCTTGGACGATGTCAACAACGGATGAGTCGACGTTGCGAGTTTTCGAGAGAAAAGTTCTGCGAATGATTTATGGTCCTTTACGCGTTGGCCACAGCGAATATCGCATTCGATGAAACGATGAGCTGTACGAGATWTACGATGACATTGACATAGTTCARCGAATTAAAACACAGCGGCTACGCTGGCTAGGTCATGTTGTCCGGATGGACGAAAACACTCCAGCTCTAAAAGTATTCGACGCAGTACCCGCCGGGGGAAGCAGAGGAAGAGGAAGACCTCCACTCCGTTGGAAGAACCAAGTGGAGACGGACCTGGCTTCACTTTGAATATCTAATTGGCGCCACGTAGAGAAAAGAAGAAACGACTGGAGCGCTGTTGTTAACTCGGCTATAATTAACTCGCGTAAGCGGTGTCTACGCCAATCCAGAAGAAGAATACTAGAAATTGAGTGGGGAGCATACATCGATGTCTAGGAAGAATAATATCAACAAAATGTAAGCTAAAAACCGCTAAAACTGTAATTACTTTTGATTTATATAAATAATCATTAGTGTACGAAACTTTTTTCAAATAAATTATGCCCATTTTAAGCTTTAGCATTATTTTTTTTATTTGTGTAAAAAAGAAGTATTTTGATATGCTAAATGTTAAATATATATCTTTTGAAATGAATAGAAGAAACCACAAAATTTATTAATTTTGGAACAAATAAACGTGTCGTAATTTAATAGAACTAGGTGTATGTAAACTTTATTGGTCCACTGTACATACCTACACACATATACATATACGTATACATTATATTATGTATGTACGTATATACATATGTACGTTATGAAAAAGAAGCATTTGTTTTTATTTTATTGGTTTATTAAAATTTCTTTTATTCATGTAAACTTCCTACTGCTAATGTACTTTTTGCTACAGACAGAACGGTTGTACGTTCTTCGGTATGCAACTCTATATAAGAAATTACATATGCATTTAGATAATTTTTTACTTACAATTGAATATATGTATGTACTTAATCAAAGAAGGTGGAGAAATGTACAGAATTTTATGTAGTGACGTTGTCTCCACTTTTGTGGGTCTCTCAAAAGAAGTTATGCATTTCTTGAATGTTTACGTCTGTCTGTACATATATATGTACACATATATGGTTTCACTGATTATTTTGTTATAGCTTATGCGAATAATTTGATCGAACTTCATCATAATATTTTCTTAATATGTCAACAAAAGACGCGTTTAACAACATTTATCATTTTTAACATTCAAGTTTATTTTTTTACCTTAGTTGTGTTCTTTGATAAACTTGAAGCATACATAGAGGGTTATCATAATTGCTTTTCAAAAAAATTAAAATGTGACATGTGGTCATTATAACTACATGGGTACGTATTTTGAAAATTGATAATAATTGCTCGGATTAACAAAACAATTGTATTTAGTGTATTGTTAACGCAAAACTTTTAAGTAGTTAGAGAATGAGATGATTGTATTGTTACTCATCATCAGCAACTTCCATTTCTGTGTTACGCAGTGAATTCACACGGGTAACTCGAGTCGGGCCAATTTCTGCCATTCTCACAATATTATTATCTCAAATTTTGCACGCTTTATTTACGCGGTATCCAAAAATATTTTTCATTATCAAATTTTTGTTATTAGGTATCTGTATATTGTGAAAATTTATTATACTTTTTCAGTATTCATTTGAAGCTGAGAGCAATTGCAATGATTCCAAAAATTTCAAAAGGAAATGAAGCATCAAATTATGTAACAGCGAATTGTTATTTATTATGTAGTTGTTGTATATAACAGACACCCTACCATGAACATATACATATATGTATGTTCATATAATTTCTATTAGCACACATGTGCTATAATATGTACATATGTGACTTGGTCTACAAAAAGGGAGCGATTATGATGAAGACGAAGTATGTGTATCTCAGGCAGAAGATGATACCGAATAAACTTTTGTTAAGATTGACCTGTCTGTTGTTGAAGTAAAGGAGGAGGATTTTTTTTTGGATTCTATCACGTGAAAAAGCATCTCATCTTCCATCCGAATCAACTAAAAAGTGAAAATTGATATTTTGACACCTAAGCCCCTTTTCCGTTGACAAGGTCACATATGTTAATATACTTACATTAGTATGTAAATGTTAAGGCTTAGTTAATTATATATTTTACAGCCATTCTATACTATAGCGAGAATAGTTGTAGTTCGGCAAGCGTATACCGAAATATACATTAGGAATGGATATTGGATACCTACTGCATGCAATAATACGAGTATAATATCGATTACCCTCATACCTTGTTTATAGTACGCAGAAATGTCAAAATCAAGAAACAGCTATTGAGCAGTTGACATTTCTTAAAGAAAATATTTTGTATTATTTAGGAGCGTTTCTAACTGAATTACTATATACTAAAATTGATATCAAAAACTCGTTTCTTTAAACAAGTGCTTTAAGTACTTTTTGAATTTTGTAAGTAGTATTTATATTCATATTTTTGTATTAATGTGATTAAACTAGTATTTTTAATTGTAAGAATTGTGCGTAAATGCTGCATCCTTATAAATTGATAGTAAGAAACTAATTATTCTGATTCTATTAATTAGCCAATATTAATCAAACTGAAAAACTGGGTAGTTTTAGGACGATTAAAAGATTTTAAACCCTATTGAAAGATTTTATTATTAAATTCATTGTTTTCCATTTTTTCATGTTTCATGTTACGATTCCTAAAATGTAAATAAACTAAAGGTTGTTGTCCTCATACTGTATACAGGCAACCAAGCGGCAACGGTAATTCCGTAGTCTTCCGCTATGGTGGTGTTATTTTAATATTTTTTAAATTACTATATTTCAATCCCGTCTACTTTGTTGACACAGTCGGACACATGACTCACTAAATTCTTTGCTTATTGAGAAAGCTAAGGAATTTTATATTTTCCATACTTTATTTGTAATAAGCATTTTTAGTATATACTTTTCGTCATTTTATATATTTTTCTAACATTTTGAGTTGGGCTAAAGCGTAGAATTTATTCCTATCCAATTGATTTCAGACACTTCGAAAGAAACGTCGGAGACTCGTCTGTATATATGCAGACCATTAGTTTCTGAGATATCGATTCGAAATTTTTACCACATCGTTTTTCTACCAAGAAGCTGCTTATTTGTCGGAATCTTCGATATCAGACCACTATTGGACATAGCCGCCATACTAATACATCATGACTAAGTCCTTGTAACCATTGAATGTTTGTATATTGTAACCACATGTGTTAACCGCTTTAAATAATAGATTATAAACAGATCAAATTATGCTATACATATGTACCTTTGTATTTGAGCTTTCAATACAAATTATAATTTTAGTTGAGATAAATAAGTTGAAAATAATGTTAAGCCGCGTGGTAAAACGTTTTCTGTCGGATGTAAATCATTGGCCGGTTACTTTTTCAGATAAAATTATTTGTAGATATAGTGGTTATAAGAAATGCACCTGCGAAGGTGGTGTATAATTTCGTAATATCCGTCTTTGTGTGATTTCGCCAGAAGTAAGATTCTAATTTTAAAAGTTGTATAATGCATCAGAAAAAATTGATTGCGTTGGAAAATGCATACATKTGATTATGCTCTGTATATGTGTTCTATGAAAAAGGTCCTACTATTCCGTTTGGTGATCTGGTAAGACGTTAATAAGAAATTGAACATGGTATTCTGTTTAAAGTAGTTAAAGTGCACTACCATCACTAGAAAAGTAGGACCATAAATTAGATGTTCTTAGTTCGTTCGGATGTATGGGCACTACATATTTTTGTTGTGAAGAATTAAGAGTTTACAATATTGATGTATATTGATATAATTATTATTGAATTGTAAACACTATTTACATAAGAAGAGAATGTGAATGTTTCAGTTTGTTTTTATTCATTTTATAATTCGATCAACCGCCGTACTTAACAGAAAGCAACTCTGTTTGTCTGTTAGGTTAATTACATACATACATATGTGTTTATTGAGAAGATTTTAAAATAAAACATATGTATGTGCAGCCACTTAAATAAGTGTAATCAAATATCTTTGTTTTTATGAACTGAAACGTGATCTTAATTTTATTGTAATTGTCAGCCTTAAAAATGTGTGTTTTCACACAGTTTTTTTAGTGATTGGCGGTTCTTATCATCATGGCGTTTATGTGCGTTAAAATGTTTTAAAATATAAATTTGTTTGTAGTATTAATTTAATATGCTTTTCTATTCCATAGGGTTATTGCAATTTACTAAGTTTAATTATTCATTCTCATAATATATTTTATAATTGTTATAAATGTTTCCATAAACTTAATTTCATTATACATGGTTAATTTTATCTACTATATTATATTTGTGCACTTCGTAACTTTATAATTCAATATGTGCAATTATGTTTTTAATGACTTAATTCAAACAAAGTGTTGAAAAATATTTTTACAATTTTTTTAAAATAATACTCAAAGTTTTTATCTGAAAATACTGAATTTGCTTATTTAATTTTTGAAAGTAAGCTCATATCAATACTTTGCTCTCTAAGCAAGTAGAGTATATCTGCAGCGCTTGAAATAAAATACAATTTCAAACTTGACTTAGTAGAAAGTAAGAAATTCCATTTATTGTATGTTAGTTGTTAAGACAGTTCTTTCAGTTCTTTGCATTTGCTTTATTTAAAGTAATATAAACTAGGTTTATCGACCAGTTAAGAAAAGGTAGCTCGGGGTCATCGACTTGATAAATATTTGCATATATCTAGGAAATTTGTAATCCGATGCTTAAAAATTTATTGCATAAATAATTTTATGAGAGAATGTACGATATATTTCAGCATATGGTAGTCATTTTTAATTCTGCATGCAATTTACTCATACATGCATAAGCACATATGTATGCCTGTATATATATGTTATGTAGCTTTAGTATTCAATGTAATCGGTGGTGTGGTGTTTTAGGAGTTGTACCTATGTTACGCATGCGTCCGATTGTACCGACATTTACCACGCCTCCGCTCATGGCAACTGTACCGCTTGCATTTTCGATGGCGCTACTCCCACCACCTTGGATTTGCATGTGTGTACGTATTTGCAGTTGATATTGTTGGTGTGGGTAGTGCAATTGTTGTTGGTTGTTTTGCTGAGCTGACTGAATGTGATTTAGCTGTTGTTGTGGTGAATGTTTGATGTCATTACAATCACAAAATTGTGGTGGTGGCGCTAGCACTATATTTTCGGCACTAATGGGTACAGATAGAATGGCTCGGCCACTGCTAGATGGTATGGCGACATTTAAAATCGGTTTGTTGCTGTTACTATTATCGCCAGTGGAGTTCAACTCGTAGTTGTCGCTGTCCGATTCAATGGGCGGTGGCAACTGCATTAAAGAGACAGCTGCACTGCGGCTAGCGCGTTGCATAGCAATGGCCGCTGCCTGTTTTCGGGTCAGTGAATTGTGACGCTGGAATCCCTTCGCAGGTGGTGACGGACTCAAATCGCCTTCGTCTTCAGAACGTTGTTCATGCTCTGATTCATATTTTGCATCTTTTCCTTCGTGTTGCGATTTTTTGTGCAGCTGTTGTTGTTGTTTGGTAACAATGGCAGCAGTATTTGTACCTGTAACACCAGCGGCTGCAGTTTTCGCTTTCAGTATTTGTTGTAAATGCTGTTGATGCAATTGTTGCTGCTGATGATGCTGTTGTTGTTGCTGCTGCTGCTGTTGTTGCAAAAATATATGTTGCTGTGTGGCGAGAAGTTTCTGATTTGGATGCAAATGTTGTTGCGGTATATTTATAGGCAAAACTGATGACTGCTGTTGCATAGTCTGACTTGAAAGAAGCTGTGGCTGTACATGCCCCACCCGACTATTGACGCTTTGAGGACTTTTATTCGTACTCATTTGTTGACTTTGTATTACTAATGATTTAACTTTTTTTGCCGATATATGATGTTGCTGTTGTTGTATTGCAGGAGCATGCTGCTGTTGCACCATTTGTTTAACGGTCACTGTAGTAGCCGTTGCTTTAGCTTCAAATACAGCAGCAGTGTTGGCAACGTTGAGTGTTGGAATTTTCGACGCGCTTGAAATTTCTGCTATGAAAGTATCTTCAGTTTTTTCTTTTAACGTTGTTGGTACAGATGTTGAAAACACTTCCACTTCGGCAGCACGGGACGATGGTAATGTTAAAGAGCTCTTTGTCTTACAATTTATACTACTAATATTTGATGGTGAATTAGTAGCAATGTCTTCTCCGATTATATTCGAATGCGTAATTGATGCTTTTCCTGATTTGGAGCCTAGAGTTTCTTCATTTTTATTAGCTTTATGGTCTTCAATAATTGTAACATTCGGTTTTTTCTTAATCGTATCAGTAGTTCTGGTATTATTTCCTTTCACATTTGCGCCAGCGACTTCTTGGTCACTACTTACACCTGACGAGCTATTATCACCTTCCTCACCTATCACTTCATTAACCGGCTGATCATTGTTTTTATTATTATTTTTCTGATCCTCGGCAGTTATTCCAGCTGATTGGTTTTGTCCCGGAGCACCAGCTTCACTTACAGCTACAGGCCTTTGCGAATTTTCGCTTTTGAGAAAACCATTTGGTGATGATTTTGATTGTTTCAAGTTGCTGCGAACGCGTTGAATCTCATCAACGGATAACGAGTGCGAAATGGAAGTAGATCCAGTGCTACTCCCGCTGAAAAAATGATGAATAATGAAAATAGAAGCAACATTATAAATTTTTAAAACAAGTATGGCACGTTTAATGTTTATTATTTTGTGGCTTACCTTGCTTGACTGTTTCCACTAGTGTCAGCAATGTCTACAAGTGTAATTTTTTCGTTTAGTTTAGTATTTCTAGCAACTAAAATAGAATTCTCATCCTCATCGTCCGACTCACTAAAACTATAATCTGGTTCTGGTATTGGAGGTGCATGACCTGCTCCAATATTGTTATTGTTATTTGTGGTGCAGATTTCAGAGTTGCCATTCTGTTGTCCTGCATCATAATGTGTTTTCTCTAGTAGTTGCGGCTGCTGCAACATTACTTGACTAGTTGTTGGTTGTGCATATTGACTACTAGACTGTTGTGCTTGTGTAGAAGGATTTGATCCTGCCTGTGGCGAAGAAGTTACTTGTGTAACTTGAGATTGGTGCTGTTGCTGTTGGTCATTTTGAGATTGTCGGTTCTATAAAGAATGGTACGTATTATAAACTTTTATTGGTAAAATTGTATAAATCTTTTAAATTTTTCATGCACACCTCTTGAGATTGTCGTAACTTCCATGCCATCACATTTCGTAACTCCTGTGGCGAGGCATATATTTTAGCATTTGTTGAGGGATTGAAACTCGACTGAATACCATCAATGGCAGCCGAAGTGACGGCATCATTTTCGGCACGCTTCTTTAACTTTTGCTGCAACGATAACGTCGACTCATACTCCGATGTGCTGCGAGTCTCCACTTTAATAACTTGCCCAATTGGTGGTGGAGGTGGTGGGTGTGTAGGCGGGGGTAAAACATTTAAACGTTGCAAAGAAGAATGAAGTGTGGCAACATCATCTTGCGAGTGGTGTCCTTTGTTTGCTGCTGCCCAAATAGTCGAGACTGATCCATTTAAATGAGTATTTAAATCTGGAGTTGAATGAAAGCGTTTCAAGTCATGACCATTGGATCCGCCTACCGACGGTATGGGGCATGGTTTACAACGCATAGTTCCATTTTTAATTTTTGTCTTTCGTTTCATTTCAGCAACACTACCGTAGACTAAAGGCGCCTTCATCGGCGAATTGGTAATTGGTGGTGGTGTAGCAGGTCCACTGTCTGTACCAGACTGAAATCGGGATGTGGTCATCATTGTGGAGTAGCTGTTTGAACTATCCATTGATTCACCCTGTTGACGTTGAAAAAGTTCCTCCAGTTCTGCAGCAGTTATGCGGCTGGATGTTGGTCTCGCCTTTATACTAGCGGTACGTAACTGCACTGGCGTTCCTGGATGAGTTGGTGTGGGTGTGATTATTGATTCGACGGATGAAGATTTAGTGTGTGGTACGTCGCCGTCATCTTTTTCCCCTCCATTTTCCAAACCAGCCACCATTGATTTCGCTCTTGCTCGTCCAACACTTAGCGTTGTTTTTGGGTCTCGGCGTGGCGGTATCGGTGCTGGCATTCGACTAACTACGCTACTTCCAGCACTGGCACTAGCTGTAGTGCCAGGACCCAGTGACATTTTTCGCGGTAAAGTTGCACATTGGCGATGCGATGCTTGTGGTGTGTTCGGTCCGCTTGACAACTGGTAAATGCTTGGTAAGAATTGTGCTCCAGCTTGCATTTGGTTAGGGAATTGAGGGGAAATAACAGTCATAGATACAAGCGCTCCAGCGGAACGTATCATTTCTACGACTTTCTCATGGGAAGCTGCTCGAACATCTTCATTGCCGATAGCCAGAAGAAAATCTCCAGGACGTAAACCTGCCATATCTGCCACACCTCCTGGATCCACATMATCTAAGTATTGTAGCGCTGGAAACCGTTCTGTTGGTTTTAATTGCATTAGTGGTGAGGAAGCCTTAGCTCCACGTAATATGAAACCAAAGCCACGTTTTGCTCTGTGTAGAATAATTGTTCGCGGTTCATTTAAACCTCTGGAATTGGTTAGTAGAGGAATTGAATAGCTTAAAAATGCAATATTATACCAAAAAAATAAAATCCAAAAATCATTATCTAGCAAAGAACCCAATCACTGAATAATATATATACTTACGGCTTTTTCAATCGAGGAGCCGTTGCGCTGCTGAATTGACTAACTAAATGTAAAGTGTTGTGGTATCCGGCATTCATCATTGAGTCGGATCCGTTGCTATTTAATGACATAGAAGGTGAGTGCTGCGTATGGCCTGGCGCAATAATGTTGAGTGAAAGCGTATCAACACTGTTATTAGCCGCATTAGTAGTTGCATTACCGCTGATACTGAGCTGAGGTGACCTTTGGGGGTTCGCTACGTTATTTACTGAACCCCCGGTTGAAGCGTGTGGTAGATAAGGGGACTGGCAGCTGGTGTTATTGGTATTGCTACTAACAATAGAGATTGCCGTTGTGTTCTTTTGGCGTAAGCTCACTTCCTGTACACAATCGACGGGAAAAAAACCGGATTGGTTTGAACCACGTATGTATCCTTCCAGGAGACCACAATCAGTGGATCCCACCACCTCAATAACATCACCTGACTGCAACGAAATATGGCCTGGTGCATTACCAGAGTATGGTTCCATGCACACCACGATGGTGCTGGGATGTCCGATCGAGCATGCAGCAGAATCTGAATTGGTACCAACACCAGATGAATCGCTGATTAAATCACTAGTGTCACCAAGTGATTTGTCTAAATATGGGCAAAAAAAATTAGTGGTATGAGAAACATAATTCTTTGTTTGTGGTTCACTTCTGAATGTTTTAACATTAACAATTATATTAAGTTTAGCGCCCTGGTACATTAACAAATATCCCGGTGTAATGGTAACTGTTATACTAAATTGCTTATATGCAACTCTCCGTTGCATGATAATGGTAGAAAAAAAACATTCCCATGCTATTGAAATATTACAATATGAACTTAAAGAAGAAGTTCAAACATATCAAAAAAAATTAAGAAAAAATTTATCTATATGCTTAATATATAAGTTCAAGAATACTTACGTGCGTACATGTTATATAAACGTTGTTCTCATTGTCATACTATTTATTTAGAATAATTATTACTTTGTAAATGATTTCTTTCTATTCCGACATAGTTTTTTTCTATTAGTGGTAGTTATACTCATGCTCGACTTTCTATTGTATACGTAAATGGGATTGCTGATGCAAATTGAAACAATGGATAACATCATATGTGTTTTTCATTTTTATTCTCGTGCATAATATTGCGAAAGTATTTACATAATAACAACGTCTTACTWTTAAAACTACCGACTTTCTTTCTCAGCGAAATTATGCTCTCACAAAAATTCATCATTTGTTCGGAAGTGACTTAAATTTTTTGAAATCTCGTCTAGTCGGACAATATTATTACGGAGACCAACCATTCAGCAAAGATATAAAATCTAAATACCATCTGATCAAAATTGATTTGGACTGGCCCATCACATGTGCGCGGAAGTGGACTCGATATTTTTTTCTTCTTTTACTATAACTTTTTATGTTGGTGTGAAGAAGAGATCATTTATTATAGTTATAATTAGAGCGAGCTTACCTGACGAATTTTAAAATAGAAAACAATTAACAACGAGGTTGTTTGAAATGTTGTGTTTCTGAGGAATAAAGTGGAATATACGAAAGCTTTTGCCTCGATGGCAGTTCAAATGTTTTGGGCATGAAGCATGTCAACGCTAGACTGATACCAAAAGACCTGAATTTTTTGTAAAATAGACGTTGAGTAGATGTCGCAATAAAGATGGTAGCGTAGTTGAGCACCGCGTATTCAGCGTTCCAAAAATTAACCAAAACCGAAAAAACCATTAAAATTCACTTAATATCATCCCAGCCGATGTTTGTAATAAGTGTATGAGAAGTTGGATTAAGTGTTGGAATGCTTGTATTACTTAAAGTTCATAAATAAGTAATAGAATATAAGTAATTGTAATACATTTTCATAATCAGACCATTTTAATAATTAATCTTACAGGGGAAGTTTCCTCTAATTGCAATTGCATGCAGCATAGTTTGAGAGCTAAACGGAAAACTAACTAAATACTTAATAAAATTACAAATTATGTTTGAATTTTTGTTATTATCATTCTTTTGGTTTGGTGTTTTTCAAACTAAATAAAAATGCGAATTGAAAACAACAATCATACATTCATATGTATATCTGACGTTACATAAAAAATGTCCAATGATGATTGAAAGCGTATTTAATCAAAAACTGATTTCGTTGCATACTAAAGCCCTCTCAAATTGTGAGGGAACGAGGAGAAGAATTCTATATACAAAAAGGTTCAAAGTATTTTTCTCTTGCCACAACAAATCGTCGAAAAACGTTTATATTTATATTTAGATAGTATATACATTTTAGTTATATGAACATTTTTTGTTTGGTTTTAATATTTGTGTATAATTAAATTAAAGCAAGTCAGACGGATTTCCTCAAAAACTAATGACTTTTGTAAGAATAGAAAATGTTTAAAATATTAACAAAAAGTGTATTCCTTATTAAAAAAGTGAATTTTATTAATGTGATATTCGACCTATGAGGTATAATCTTTCTCCACATTTAGATGACTACATATACATATATATCACATAATTAAATGTGCAAATGTACTTATGTAATTGATATGCAGAAAATAATGAAAAATATAAGGTAAGAAATAATAAAAAATAAAGTTTAGAAAATAATATTCAATACCTGTAACAATGCTGATGTCATCTTCATGTGAGCGATGTCCTGACGATCCTTCGGAGAGACTTGAACTAGCCGAGCTATAAGGAATATGCTCGGATGGACAAGGTGACGGCGGTCCATTATGAAAACATGTGCTGTTCCGTGGCAAGGTGCCCATCAGGCTGCCAGCGCAACTACTGTAGTAGCTGCCACCTGGCCAGCCCACAGCTGACCGACGTTTTGGGTTATACCGAGGTTGTCCGCGAAAAGGAACTAAGGAATGTGGTGGGAGTTATTTACTTCTTGTTATGTTTTTTCACATACTATTATGCACGTAGTTACATTTTAGGTCCTTTACTAATTTCTTTTCACACTGTATTCTGCTTATATGTAAATACATCTTAATTATAAATTCTAAGTCATAAACTAAGCAAGTAAGAAACTCCTAAGTTCGGTTGTAAACGAAAATTTAACACTCTCGCGATTTGCAAGGATAAATGCCCGGCAAAAACGTTCAGGTTTCCCAACACCATATATAAAATAAGTAAGGAATGACCTTGCAACTTGCCAGGATCAAAGCCAGGGAAATTCCCTCAAGTGCATAAGATTTATAAATTATATGGGTCTTGGGGCAAGCTTTCACCCGAGTTATCTATTTTAGGCACAAAGATGTACGGTTATYAGAAAAATTCGCCCTCACAGTGAGTTGTCATGCATTTAGTAGCTTTCATCATAACATTTATATGGTGGGCGGGACTACAATGCTATTTTACCAATTTTAACTCTGAGGAGATGTCAAAAAGATTCGTCCTCGGTTCGGTTGATATATGTTTTCGCTTAGTGGCAGTTGGTGGGCGTGGTAATGTACCGATTATGTCTAACTGTAGTACCATTAACCTTATTATTTTGGTACTTATAACCAAATATAAACAATCGTTAGATGAACAAAATTATTATATTCTGTATAAACATGTTCAGAGAGTAAAAAATGTACAATACATAGAAGAAGTAAAACTGGTAGAGAATAGAAAATATTTTTTATTAGTTGTCCCAAGTTCATTTTTTACTAGAAAATTCCTTTCGACCGCATAAATGCGATGACGTTTTTTGGTATTGCTCATTGTGTCGGTCACCATTCGCCATCTTGGTATGAGGTCAATCTCAGAAAAATTAAACTAAATAAGCTTGAAAATGTTATACTTGAAAGAAAAACTTAGTTTTTCGAAAATATGGATATTATGATAATGCAAACATTAAAACCAAAAACTAATTTAATTTTATTTTCCTAAAAAAATTTTGCATCTAAAAATGTATTCCAATTAAACATTAAGTAATTATTAATTATTGATTGGTTTAAATTTAGGAAATATTGATATTTTAAATAAATGCAATGAAGAATAATTTCTATATTTAAAATCTTTCTTTACAAGTAATAAAAAAAATCTCTCCAGTAATATTATATTTGATTTGTTCAGATATGATAATTTCCTAAAAAGGGGACGATATGTTTTAAAACCATGTAAATACCAACAAATATTAAAAACTTTTTAAAACGAAAAGTGTGATATTTTTTAATATAACAACTGATACTATTTGTAGGTATTTAGGGAATAATAACAGCATAAACATAAAAATGTATAATGTTGCGTGCAAGTTTTGAGTCAACATAGAATTAAAGAAATTAATTATTTAAAACATGATGGATTTTATATTTTAACGTTTTTTCTTTGTTCCAGATGTGTAGCTATAATTGGCATTTATTACATCTTTATTAGAGGTTTTGCCGTTTGTAGTGGACGCCTTAACGATATCTGATGAACGGTATAAATTTAAACTGCCTACGAACGGCTGATGGATTTTATGATAATCTTTGTTTTAACTTCGTTGTTTTCTAATAGTTTGCTTTAATTAAATAATTTTTCCTTTTCCATGTGCTTATCATAGTTTGAAGAGAACCGATTTTAGAACCGAGCTTAGGTTCTCCAAACTCTTGAATTTCATATGTAAGTTTAATGCTTATGTTATAATTTTATAGATATAAACGAATAATTCATAATTAACGGCAAATTTTAGAAAACTGCTATAAAAAGCGTAACTCTGTACACATATACGATGAAATAAAAACAAAAATCAGTGTGAAAGAAATTAAATATAAAGGTATGTTTCATATATATATGTATGTATATTAGGTACATGCAAATATGATGCTTGTAAATTGTACAACTTTTAAAATAATTAGAGTAAAGTGGATGATTGATATGGACATCGCGAATAGGGTTATTTCTGGTAGGAGTGCATATTTTATTCTTTTTTCCTCGAAAATTATTGTGATAGAAAATGGATGTATGAATTTCAACACATTTCGACATATGGTACTTGTATACTTGTGCATTTTCATGCAATATTTTGTCATGGGTGAAAACAATTTAATAAGCGAATATTACTACGCACAATGCATCGGATTGTGATATGCACATATTTACATACGTATGTATCACTTTTTGTGTATGGAAGCCAACCAAAATGTTTTATAAAAAAATAGGTCATTACTCACCTACATCGTCAGGTTTAAAATTCTGTATAATTTCGGCAAGGTCCATATTTCCGGCAATTACGGCGACCTTAATAGAAATATATATATATATATAATTTTAATCATGAAATTTGCGTATTATTTCATTATTTGTTAGTAATCTGCTGCAATTTTAGATAAAAAGAAAGCTGCTACTATTTCCAATATTTTTAACAATATTTAAAATAAATACAGTCTTTAGAATATCAATATATACATACGCCAAAAATAACTCTAGAACTTTCGATATATGCATAACGTAATACTTTGTTCAAATGGACATCCAAAATTCTGCATAAAAAATTCATTTCATTTGCATTCTTTAACTTTTCATATTTACTGAAAAGAATAATTAGTGAAGTGCATAAAAATAATAAATCTCGATTTATCTAAGTAATACAATGAAAATTCAGGGATAAAAGAGAAGCATCCATTCAAAGATGCTGGTATGTATGTACATAATTGCTTTTGAAAATTCCCATATAATGACAATGAAATCATTAAGGATTAGACAGATTCAATTTGTAACTTAGTTGAACCATATAATTGACWTTTAAATTATTTTGAGATGGAAAGTTGTAGAGTTTTTTTCACCCATTTTAATTGCGTTTGTTGTTAACCTTATAAAGCAGAGATTGGAAAAATATGTACCTGATAGGGAGTTTGATTGGCATAATTGAGAGCAGACCGCTGTGCACCACGAAACAAAAGCATTCTTGCACAAGCCTCTTGATTGTTAACAGCGCATACATGCAATGGTGTGTTACCGGAAGCGTTACGGCCATCCATGTCCGCACCATAAAATAATAAATGCTCCAAATGGTGTACAAGACCATGCCGACAAGCCTACCATTATTCCATAGTTTTTATTTGTATACGTTCAAAATACGAATACAAATATGTATATTATTAATGTAGTTTAAGTTCAAGCCAGAAAAATAAGAATTAAATATAGTTTTGTTTTAAGTAAAAGCATTTAAGTATGTATATAATACAAACTAGTCAAATTATAATAATCTACACCATCACCACTTAATAATTGAAAGGTATTTCAGCGATGTTCTAAATAAGTAAAATAAATTTACGGGAAAGCTAAATATAGGATAGTTTTGTAATTTAATTTAAAATAACAAAGAAAGCTACATTTTGATATGATTAAGTCAAAGTTTATATTTTGGAACCCGTAAGTTCGTCCTTATCACAATTACATTGGAAATCCTTCTTTGAACTGTTCTTGCAAAACCAGAGCCAAGAGTTTAGTTCGAGATAAAAGTTTCTTTAAGCGGAAAGTGTTTGTTATAATTTTCTGTGTTTTATCTTATATTAACAAAATATTATTTAGTTACAATATTTTACCAGAACCCGATATGTATTTTATATTCTTTTTAGATAAATTTTAATTTACGGATTAAAAACTTAATAATAAGATACTAACCTGATGAACCTCGTTCCAACCTTGAGTGTCTTGTATACCTAATGTGGCGTGATCATGTAGCAAGCTCTCTGTTACCTTTGGGTCGCACTTACGGGCTATAGATAAATAGAGAGGTGTTATACCTCGCCCATCCTTGTAATTAGGTGATGCACCTAATTCTAGTAGGGTTCTTATAGAACAATAAAAATATTTATTTTACATACATATATTGAATGAAAAGAAATATGTTCTGTAAACTTACGTTACAGCTTCCAGTGAGTCCTTTTCAACGGCTTTATGTAGAGCTGTAGTACCGTCTTTGGTGCGATAGTCAAGTAAAGCACCGCCATTAACTAATGCTATCAGTAATTTATTTGGTTTTTTAGCTCCAGTGGCAACAGTTAGTGGGGTCTCTCCACTTTCTGGGCAATGAAAATTCGGATCTAAGCCTTTGGAACACATTTTTGCAATCTTGTCTACATGTCCAGCATGTATGCATTCAAGAAATCGTCGTAAGTTTGCGCGTGTGTGTAATGCCTTCAATTGTCTCTCATCCAAATTCAGCATTTTGTAAACACGTCTCTTATATTTAAGCTAGTAATAGTATACGAAAGACATGCAATTTAATTATTGTACTTGAATATGTTGGAGAACTTCAAATCACCTCTAAATAGCCGACAGGTCCATTAAACGGATAATCACCTAAGCGCCGCTCTTCATCAAGAAATTTCCCGGCTTTACCATTTGAAGGTGGACTGAAAAGTCCATAATTAAAACTCTCCTTAAGTTCCTGTGCGGAAGGGGTAAAAGATATACTTAATATAAAGGATTTAACTTAAAATCTTAACTTAACTTAACAAATACATTTCTTAGTTCGTAATTTAATGACAGTTGAGCAACACAAGTTGGTTTTAGCATGCAAAATAATGAACATTCAACACCAACCTTAAACCAAAAGGCCACCTATGGAATTTTTAGCGAAAAACATAATATGGAAAATTAATCCAGTGTTGTATATATTAATATATGTATGTTGTTGTAGTGCGATCATTTCGTGAGGTGGGCGTACATATGTCAGTAGTTGTGTTGCGAGACCACTCATTGCACAAATGTATGTAGGTATATTATAAGTATTTGTGTACGTTGATTAGTATTTATTTGGAAGTAAAAGCATATTGATAAAAATCATAATAAGAAGAGAAAAGCAAAGTTCACATAAATTAAAGAAGCAAAATTCGAAATCTCTCAAGTCAAGAACATATCCATTATGAAAAATAATTCCCGATTTAGATTTATTTTAAATCTGCTTTCAGTAAATTTCAAAAAAGGTGTCTATATCCTGGATTTGTACTTGAGTTGAGTTTGCAGAGCATTTGAAGCTAAAAATATGTTTAGCAATAATACAAAGCACAAGTTACTTAATTTTTATATCGATTGTACTAGATGTACTTATATAAATTAATTTGCTATAGTATTTTTTTAATACCAATTTTAACAAATTAAAAAAATGGCTTTCTGAAATATTTTATTATATTTTGGAATAGATCATTTTGTTTTGCCAACACATTCAAATTATGTAATACGTAAATTTTTGTATATATGTAAATTTAATAAAAAATGCATATATATTTCGGGTTAAAAATTAGCTTTTTAATTATTTTATGCGACTTTAAGGACTTACCTTTGGCAATGAGGAGAGCACCTGCTGTTTCACATCCCAAACTAAACGATCTGACGGAAACTGAAGACATTTAAAGACGTTTAGTTCGGGCACATGAACGCGCACCAGTAGCCACCCATCTCGAGGCTCTGGTGGTGGTTCATCGTCAAACCCCGGCCCTGGACCGGAGTCCATATTGGCCGGGTTTTGTTTGACTTTTGGTGTGGGTGGGTGATAGGCGGTAATTTTGAATATAGTTTAAACAACTTTTTAAAAGAAGTAACTTATATTCTCGTTAACCTTTCTGGGTTTAAAAATATCAAATTGTGTATTTGGATTTTATGCTGAATCAGTTGTTTTGATAATATATTGAAACATTTGTTGCTTATGATTATTATTAAAAAATATATTTCGTTGTAGCGGCCTTTTCATTCACAATGGATTGAAGGATCTGAAAGATAAAAATATGTTGCTAAATTTTGTGGATTTATTAACTCAAAGGTGAAAATATATAAATTATTTTATTTTAATAGTATTTAAATTAATAGTTCTAAGTAAAAGAACTTATTCTATAACTACGTATTGCTAAAATAACGTATAATTAACGTAGAAATTAGCTATTAAAACAGGCCATTTTATAGAGATGTGCCGCCGAATTTTCATGCAATTGCTGACAATTTTATAAACCACCGTTATCTTTGCGTTTAACTGGTAATTCGTTCACTTTAATCAAGCTTTTTAAAATTCTTATCATTATTAAATTTTTTCTTTATAACATCTTAAAATTACCTGTTGAATTTCTACTATAATTTTTCTTTTTGATTTTTATTTAATAATATATTTATATATAAATCAGAGAGAGTAATATGGTTTATCCAGTGCCGGGTTAAGCTAGCAAATTCTGTTAAGGGGCCCTTGGGTTCCTTTAGGTTCTCAAGTTTAGAATACTAAATAAAACAGAATTGTTACAAATAAACTTTTCTGGATTTATTATAGGCTTCAATATCGACTTCTTTAAGAAAGTCATGCTCTATATTTAACAAAGTGAGACGATTAAGACGTTTTTTGCTCATCGTGTTCCTTAATTCATTTTTAATACGTTTTAATCTTGAAAAAGAACGTTCGCCACTGCAGTTAGTGATCATGAGAGATAAGTAAATTCGCAAAACAATTTCTAAGTTTGAAAAACACGATTTTAAAGAATTATTTAATAAAAGTTTATAGTATTGCTGTTCCAGAGGCTCCTGTTTCTTCTTTCTTTCTCAATAACAGCAGCCTCATCTGTTTTCAGTAGTTCTGCAAACTGCACTAATTCGCCGCCTAGGCTGTTCTCCAAATCATCTTCATAAGCACTGACTATATTAGAGTATTTTTCCAAAATCTCTTCTGTTGGTAGGACTCTTCCGTTGGTAGAGATTTTAGCTGTCGAAATACTTCAAAAACACTTGTAATTTTATGATATGCTTCATACGTTTAGTTAAAGTAGACAGTACGTTATCAATAATGACAAAAAACACCTCAAATTCGAAACGTTGTCCAGGTGCTTGATTTTCAACAAAGTCGTCGTGTGTAGTAGAGCTGCTGAAGTGGTCGTACTTTGTATTTCGCTTGATTCGTCGTGATGTCTGTTGCTGGTATGCTTCACAGTAGGTCAGATCTTTGACTCTTGCCTCAATACCTGAAATAGTGGATCGCATTGCATGGACGTAGCCATTTAATAATTCATAAAGGGCGTATCCCTTTATTAAGGTCTTGATCAGACGATTGCAACGAAGCACTAGTCGCTTGCAAGCGTTCTAGGACTTCGTTCCACGTAATTGTCATTATTCCCGTTTCTAACTTATTCATCGTTGAAAGTAGTCCGTAAGCTTTATTACGCCACTCCGCTTTTTGATCCACGTTATTGAAAATGTCTTCCAATACTTGCTTAATAGTGATAAACCACATAAAAGTGCCTTCGTAGCATTAACTCGGGCTGACCACCAAGTGTCCGATAACCGTTTCAAAATCACAATTTTTGAAGCAGAATCTTTAAGTGCCTTCGTAAGACGTGGTAGAGGTTTTCAATGAAATCGAAGAAAAGTAATGCTTCTGTACAGTAGTCTGCAGCGCACTTGGCATCCAAATTTAATGAATGTGCAAGACAGGGAATGTAGACTTATTTATTTTCTTAATTCGGGCTTGTAAGCCGATGTATTTCCCACTCCAGTTGCTGGCATTATAATAGCTTTGCCCACGACAATCTTTGGCATTAATGCCACTCTCACTCAAGAAATCTAGTAAACTTTGAGCGAGTTGATCAGCACTATGGTCCAGATGGCAGAACATGGCTTGAGACTCTGAGACACCTTGTTCTTAAGGCTGGACTGAACTAAAATGTTTGCCCTGTTAAGAGGTCAGCGCCCGCTTGGAAAAAGAAATAACTAGATAGAACCTTTTAATTACTGTATTTTATGATATAAAATAATGTTTTTTTTTATAATATGGAAGGTCACAAGAATATTTTTAAACAGTTATTTCCAATAAAAATATGGTAAACATTTAATAATTATACTTATTTTCTTTTGACGGACATGCAAGGATATTTTACGTTTCAYCTAAATTGATATTTTTTTAATTACGGTCAGTTGGAGCGCGGGGCATTTGCTACTCTTGCTACGTGGCTAATCCGGCACTGGGTTTATCTGAAATAAATACAACGTATAACTTTGAGTGGCAATACGTTTATATGTATTTTCTTACCTTAAAAATGTTTTCGAGTATTTATGTACTCGTATGTATTAACTAACTTCAACAATAACGTCAATAAATTCAAATTTCTAACTATGATAGCACATTTGTATGAATCTATCTTCAAGGTGCACTTTTAAATAAAAAAAATCGATTATTTTGCATGTATGTTCATTTATATCGAATGTACAYATATTTGAAAATATTCTTAAAATATTTGAAGTTGATCCGGCAAATATGAAAGATCGTATTTGCTAAAAAAATTTAAACGCCTTTTTCTATACCACAGCCATACATACTATTAAGACGTTGGCACAGCATCGAAACGTGCCGTATGGTAGATTAAAAACGAGGTTTGCGTGTATACAAAGGTCTTTAACTTTGTAAGTGCATCCACTCGTTAATAGAGTGGCATAGATTCGACTTTAGAGTAAAAGCAGTACGAATTCCGAAATAAGCAATTTGTTTTAAATAGTTTGCCTTGTCAGTACTCGTTGATATGATACATATACATTTGCAATATATAGCACATACTCAAAAGAAAATGGTTTATTGGTAAAAATCCGATTAGTATTTTGATTTTTATAACATGTATTCTTTGACTATGGAAAGGTGGTTTTTACGTCTAGTACTTAGATTGAATTCTGGGTTATAAAAAATGAATAAATATATTAATATATTAAATATTTTATGGTGAGGTATTGAGATCCGCACTGTGGTCTCATAAACTATTATATAAAAAATGTAAGCACCCACGTTATTTGCATTGCTGTACCACAATTATTTATGTGTATAATCAACACAAATTGAGTATTTTTTACGAGTCTGTGTTCATTTAAAATTGGCGCAAATTACGATAACACTGTGTATAAATATGAATACATCGGTATATAAATTCATATATATGTTCACACATATAAGGCTAAACAATTTAGTGATAATCAAATTTGCTTGATAATTTATTTCATTTGCACAACCACTTGCGAGTATTCATGTGCATATACATATGTATATGCATGTTGATATTTGTACATGCGGTACATTCATATATATGTGCCTGTGGAAAGCCAATACGATTTTCTTATAAATGTAAGTATTAGACAAAAAGGGATTAGTTTAGTTACTACACTTACTACACTATAAAAAAGAAAAACACCATGCGGTTTTTTTTCCAAATTATTTGAAACGCGGCGCCTATTAAAATATGATACATGCTTGATGAAGCTTTACTATCTAACATTTCCCAACACAGTGGGTTTGGGTTTTTGTCCTAACTTCCCCTCCAGTATGTAAATTGGTATGAATAATATAGTATTTACCCTAGTGAAGCTTGGTGTTTATTTCCTAAATTGCAATCAGTTGGCGGAAATAGTATATTAGGTCATCAGTGTTTTGCTATAATTTATGATTAGTTAATTTGTAAATGAACTATAATTCAAAATCATAAATATCTTAGTTATGTAGATCAMAGCGTTGATATTTTAACTTTCTACACCCATTTGTATTGATGAGCATATACATATACAAAAGCATATGGAGATATCGAAAAATTTATAAATTGAAGCACTTTCAAGAACTTAAATTAATAAAGCAAAAATACATTTTTCAAAGTTTACTCATAAATACAAATAGAAGAAGCAGAAGTAGAGCAGTTTCAAATGCGCAAAAGTTTAAACGTTTGAGCTCACGATGGATAAAAGGATGTATGTATGTATGACAGTGATATCAAAAATATTCAATATACATACATTTATTGACTYCTTTAATTGGCTATTGACTAAATATGAAATGAAGAAACTTATAAATATTATATCTAATAAGATGAATAATAAGTATTATTTCTAAAATAATTGTGTGGAAGCGTACGTAAAGTGATCATTTCGATTTCAACCTCATTCTCATTATGAATAGCGGACGAAAGATAATGAGAACAACAAGGTCGTATTTATTCGCATTCTGTAACCACAGGCTTAAAAAATATAATGTTATATAGATGATTGTAATATATAGTTATATCTGGTGTGTTGTTAATAATCCTTTGTCATGAATTTCGGAAGTCATATCCATACTAACCGTAATAACTTTTTTCTAAGTAGGCAGTGGACTTACTTTTATTATTTGGCAGGTTATTATTTAAATCTTTTAATAAGTAAAGCTTGGGATACTAAAAAGAGGTTTGTCATTTCCTTCCAAAGAGAATTCAGATGGGATTTTGGCGGCACTCCCCGAGTAAATGGATTATTATAAGGTTGTTAAATATGTTTGACGAATCTGGACGTATCGCAAGAAGCCTGTACCCTCGAGGTCTGTATGTTCGTGTTCAAGAAACAACCACGGTTGTTGCTTCATCAATCCAGACAAATCCAAAAGTTTCGACTTCCAACTTATCGGCACAACGGATAATTCATGATGACTTAAACCTTTTTCCGTACAAACATAAAAATCAAGCTAGTTAAAACGCCTGGAATTTTACCAAAAAATTATTGAAATGGTCGAAGGACTTGATAAATTGCTTATTTATCTCTAATGTGGTCAATTTTGAAATAGATAGTTAGATTAGTTTGGTTCCAGCAAAAAATAGCAAAGGCAAACATAGCCAGATAGATTATTGCAGAGAAACTCACTTTCCGCTGGCCCCCAAGGTCACCTGACCTGATTGCCCCATACTTTTTTATGTGGTTATGTCTAATAATTTTCTAGTTAGTTGCCGCATATGCGTGACTGAGCATGGAAGTTATTTACGATCCATAATCTTTGAAAATAATTAATTATATAAAATAAAACAAAATTTATGTAATGAAACAAAAAATTATGCATTGATTAAAAAAAAGTTATTACGGTTTTTTTGTGCCACCCTGTGCTATAAATGTGAATGTAAGTATGTTTGACCATCATGAAACTATTGAGAAATACATAGGATATTTATTTTTAAAAACAAAATATATTCTATAGCAATTATGAAAAAGGTAAATCGGAATTCGTAATTCAAAATAGAAAAAAAAAAGTTTATGCCAACTTGAAACGAGAGCTAAGGCCGTTGAAGCTTATGATAGCRTTTTTTTTGTAAGCAAGATTTTGTAGCAACACATCACCTAAGTTGCGGCCATTTAAACCACGACAAAACAACTTTTGAAAAGAGATTTAAAAAACAGCTTGTTGACAAAGCTAGTGTATTTGTTTAGTTCGATAAATTGAAAATGGAAGTACATAGAAATAAATGTATGTATCGTATTATTTTATGAAAGCAAAGTAACATTGGAATGGAATTTGCTTTTTTCAATAAAAAAGACAGCAGCCATGTAGCTGTGACCGACAAAGTAATAAAATGCTGAAAAGTACACTTCTGGAACTTCAAACATGTTTTAGTACATTCGGTCGTGATCATTGTATAACTGTGCTCGTTGAAAAGAGGAACTAGTCACACCGTCCGGTATCTGCATATAATATTTGTAAATAAATGTTAGCAGTTGAATTTATTTTACTACCTGAATATGCCTTTTTTAATTATACATGCATATATACTATAGGATATAAGGGTCTCAAGATATTTCTGAAAGATTATATATAATTATTCGTTTACAAATCCGTGTATCTGAACACTCCACTTTAGAATTTATTCTTCTTAAAATGCAGTTTTTTATGATCCCGCAACAGTTTGCGCAGAGTATATGAGTTTTGTTCACCTAACGGTTGTACGTATTACCTAAACCAAATCTATCGAAATAGATATGTAGTTATAAATGTATGTATTTATATGATCAGGCTAACGCGACGAGTTCAAATAYGGGGACTGTCTGCCCATCCTTCTATCCGTGAAAGCGATAACTTGAGTAAAAATTGAGATATCTTGATGAAACTGGGTACATATGTATGTTCTTTGGCACCCGAGGAGGGCTGGTATTGTAGAAGGGTGTAATCAAACCACTGCCACTCATAATTAAGCACTAAATTAAGGAAAAAACTGTAATTTGGTATAGAAGATCGCAGTAGACAGGGAAAATTGTGGGCTGAACATTTCTTAAAATGTTGGGAAATGCTCAAATGTACATATGTATGTATATAAGGGGGCCTTAGCCTTCAAATTCGTAATATAAATATTGTGGAGTTTCCGGTTGACTTTATTAATGTAACTTCTTGCGTGTGAATGTAAATAATGGATGCAATACTTTTAAATTAAAATATGTATGAAATATGGTGATAATCTTTCTAGAGTATAAATTTTTCGGTCACACTCGAATTGGTGTTTGTATGGAATTGGTCGTTTTTGGTCATTAACCAATATACTCGTATGTATGTACATATATCCGTATGACAAGATAAAAGCTCTTTAGATTAAAATTCGTGTTTCATAGCAATTTATCGACTTCAATATGAATTATAGGTAAAAACAGTATCCCAATAATCAAGTCTTTAAAAGATTTTAGCGCACGTAACTAATCGTAAATACGCATATGTATGTATGAATGTATCTACAGTATATTAAAACATATTCTAACAGTAATACAATATTTTAAATTTTTTTCGCAGAGCCAAAAACTCGTATCAGTACTCATTTAATAATTCGTTAATAAATACAAGTACATGGGCATAGGTAAGTACAATACATATACAATTCGGTTTAATATATTAGAATAAACGGTGCTATCTTAACAGTATGTTGGTATCACAACTAGTAAAACAGACCTCGAAGTAAGAAATTGTTGCTTGACACGAAATCACCTTGAAAGTATTAAATGTTTCACTGATATTTTCTTCCAAAGCTTTTCCACAATACCACAAACAACTGAATTATTTTTATTACGTGACTTAATCACTTAATTAATTAATAGTCTATTATTATTACATATATGAGTTTTTGTCAGAAAAGTCCTAAATAAGCACATACATTACTAACTTTACGAAAGCACGTTCATACACTTTAGCAGCATAAATTCAGAAATATATGCATTAGAGCGGGTCGATTTACGGGGAATAACAGGAAATATTCTACGAATTATTCTGAATAAATTTTGTTAAGAAACTATAGGTCTAGACCCGGTTTGAAACCAACGATTTTTAAGGCGAAGTTCTTTGGGGATCATAAAAATGTGTTCGTCAGTATTTGAGATATCTGAATGAAATTTTTATCACATATCTCGCATACAACCGATTAATCAGATTTTTAAATTTAAATCATAAAAATGTGTTCGTCAGTATTTGAGATATCTGAATGAAATTTAAGACTTAGATCCGACAACTTTATCACATATCTCGCATGCAACCGATTAATCAGATTTTTAAATTTCGCCTTAAAAATTGCGCATTGGGACTAAAATGATGAATCTCATATTCAACACTCAATCATTATATATTCTCCTTATTTGTAAGACTTAGGGGTGTGTGAAATATTTACAATATAACTTTAGTAGTTTATGAGATACATATGTATGTATACTGACACCATTCAAGGAAAACTCAAAATCTCCACCTTACAGTGACTCTTTGTATTAAGGGAGAGGTTAGGGTTTCATGGTAAACAAAAACTTGTTTGCGAATTTATTTCTTAAATGTGGATTGAGTAATTTTATTCGGATCTTTTGTACATTACTGAGCACAGTTTTGCCAACACAATAGTTGGTTATGTGCTAGAAAATGATTTTATAAATAGTACCTTGTGAAAACTGCCAATTCAGTTAAGAGCAA